ATACTTGCTGAACCCAGCTTGGCTCTGCCCAGTCATGGGAATCCAGGCAATGATTTTAGCTCCCTGATTATCATCTTCCTCTCTTATAAAACAAGAGGTTAGGTGAGTCCCCTTGGACCTGCTCTCTATCAGCATTGGATACACTCTCATTCAGTCGTGTCAGACTAAACAAGGCCCCTCCAGAATGAACGGAGCTCCTACTTCACTGCCCTGCATTGGACAGGGACAAGCACTTAGCTCCAGGAAACAACGGAGATGTGTAAATCTTTGCTGTAAGAAGTCTTGTACATAAAGTGCAGCTCAATGTTTAGACATTTTGTCTAATTTTGAGTTAGTTGTGGGAAGTAGTTTGGCTACCAATTGATTTTTTTCCCAACATAGAAATTCATATTCTCAAGTTAAATAAAAACAAAATCTGGAAGAGATACAGTTGGAGTTCTGTAATTGGGCTACAACGTCTGAGGAAGGTCAGGATACAGAGCTTGGCTCCCAGCTCTCCAGCTCTCCTCTCCTGCCGCAGAAGGAACTCAGCCTTGCGTTGGCCAGTGTTAGAAGAATAGCCTCCCCGCACATCTCCTTTCACGGCTGTGATGTGAAGAAGCGTGTTCGTTCAGCAGGAAGGAACGTCTGTAGACACACAGTCACCCACAGACACCAAAAAAGACAGCTTTGGGCTTTGGAGATGACTCAAACATTACATCATCTTTCTGGGGTTTATGTTACAACACAGCCCCAGAAATGCTTCAGTAATCTGCTAAATTTCTTTTGTGACTAAATTAGAGAATTCCAGAATCACAGGGCTCCTATTTCTGCACTGGTCTGAGATCGATGATTCGGGTCTTGTCCTTTGCCTTGCAAATTTCCCCAAGAAAAAGACAATGTCAGTCTGGTTGAGCTACTGAGGACTTAAACAGGAACCATACTCCCAGGATTGCCTCAACACGGTAATTTCATATCCTGACTTTCCAATAAACGCAATCACAAATCAACAGTTTCGTCAACCACTAGAACTAAATCAGCGCCCCAATTCTGGGTACCAAAATGAATGCCCCCAAAGGACTTCCCAGCTCACACTGAATCCCAACTCTCTATTCCTATTTACTGTATGGATAGACTTTTTATTTTACCAAAAAATGATTCCTAGAGGGGAAGCATGGTGCATTGAAGTCCTTTAAAAATCTTACATACTACAGAGTACTTTCTCAATGACTTGGGTGTTATCTGAGTGAGACATTAAGCTAAAATGACCTCACTCGATACACTGGATATTTATCAGTAAGAAAAATACCAAATCGTCTAACATAACACAGTGTCCTTTATCTCACAATCATGAATGTTGAAATTTGTCACAAGTAAGTTCAAGGTGACTATGCTGTGAAGATTACATTGTGCTCCCCAAATATTTAAACCTTCTGTTCTGAAAACTCAGCACTTTCAATTGACAATAGAAAGAGATTCAAAGCCAGGCACAGTAGCTCTTACCTAGATCCCCAGCACTCAGAAGATGGAGACAACAGGGTCATGAGTTCAAAGCCAACCTGGACAACACAGTGAAACTCTATCTCAAAAAGAAAAAAAAATTATTTGAAGAAAGAAACTGTGTGGAAGCATCTTTAGGAAGGCAAGCATCTGAATTCTGAAGATGAATGCAAAGTACTTCATGAATGTAATTATTTCATGAAAGGCAAACTAATCAAAACTAAGTATATTGCTTTGTATGTTATATGACTTTAAATATATTTGTGTGACTCATCTCCTAAGTTAAACATAAAGAGACAGATAACAGCTACATACATACCACTAAATGTTTTCAGAATCAAGCTGGCCAAACTATCCAACTTTCATCAGGAAGTGCAAGGCCACTTTACATGCTTTGGGCATGTTCTGAAGAGTGTGGGGTGCGGGTTGATAAGTCAGTACGTGATGTGTTCTGGTGGACGACAGAAAACAAGAAGGACTGATTCGAGAGCCGGTGTTGGAATTCTAATCTGCTTTAGGTTTTTGTCCAACCTTTTCCCCACACTGTTGGGTAAATCCTGGAGCAGGCGTCAGCCTGAACAGCAGGGATGCTCAGCACCTTCCTTGGGCTGTTGAAAGGAGAGGAAAGAAAAGCCTGGGCAGTCCACAGAGATCCAAAGTGACAGGGCCTCACCGATGTGCACTTAGTGGTCACCAGGTTCTCTAGCTTTACCTCCTGAGTTCTGAAGTAAGTCTTTCTTCTCAGCTGTTCCCTCCCACCGGCTCTCGCTTGGATTAATGCAATGAATGGCCTTTTCCTCAGCTCTCCTCACTTCACGCCACCCTCTTACCCCTCAGCAGTCTCCCTCAAACATGAACACAACCACACCATTCCTGTCCACCAGCTCTCTGCAGCTCTGCTTAGCTTCCAAGGCACCATCCTAGACACACAGCCTGGAGCGGAAGGCTCTTCCTAGCCAGATTCACAGCTGCTTTCCTATCAAGTGTCTGTGTCTCCCGCATCTCCAGCCATACCTCCCCCAGAGCTATGGTCCAGACCTTTAGGGACACATGCCACAGTCTCTCACCCAGCTATGAGATACCAAATGAGAAGAACCCTTGTGTTTCTTACTGATCTCTGGGCATCTGAATTCACTGCACCTGTACTCCTGGCTTCAGACTCTCTAAAGAAATGTGGAGCCCAGCTGTGCAAGGCAGTTTACGGTAACCTTCCTATCACCAAGTCTAAAAGTTTGCATAGCTCTAATGCTTTCATTTAGGAGCTGAAGAAGACTCCAAGCACCGAAGAGCCTGAAAACTTACCGAGAGTTCACTGTGATGGTTTGAATAAGGATTGTGAATAAGGGTGACCCCCATAGGCTCATGTATTTGAATGTTTGGTTCCTAGTTAGTGGACTGTTTTGGAAAGATTAGGAGGTGCAGCCTTGTTGGAGGAGGTGTGTCCGAGAGTTGGGCTTTGAGGTTTCAAAAACCCCTGGGCTGGCCCAGTCTCTCTCTGCCGGCTGCCTCCCAACCAGGAGACACTCAGCTACTGCACCCTGCTATAACGCTAATGGACTAACCCTCTGAAACTGTAATCAAGCCCCAATTAAATGCTTTCTTCTGTAAGCTGCCGTGGTCATGGTTTCTCTTCACAGCAATAGAATGGTAACTAAGACAGGCATTAACAAGTGAATAAACAAAAAAATTTTGCCAGGTCAGGCTGACTCTAAAGCTGATGTTTTAACTGAGACCAACCCTGTAAGTCTTGGTAATTATATCTTTACCATAATTTCACCTGCAAGAAAAAACCAGGAAGCAACATCACTTCTTCCGACTTCCACAGCCCACAGGAGCCTCAGGTACAGGTCACTTTGGATCAGGACAGGTACCATACTTTTAGCCCAACTCCTAGTACATCCCAGCGTGCCATGAATGGAAAAATAGGAACGATCTACCATAATGATAAGTTTTTCATAGTCTCACTTGGCCCCCAAATGAAGTTCTTTGAGGAGAGAACATAATATCTCAATCTGTCTCTAAGGAAGGGGAAAATGTGAACATGAGTCTAAACAGCACTTCTGACTTTGTGTCTGGATGGGATGCTCGGATACAAAGTCTGCTATGAGAGAACACAGTGTCCCAGATGTTGACTCTGACTATTCAACAATTGGTGGCATCCTTTTATACTTTGTTTTTGTTATCTAACATGAACACACACATATACATTGAATTATAGACAAGAGGAAAATTGCTGTAATGGTTACCTACCCTGTAAAAAGAAAGCATACATACAACATATAATATAATATATATTTCTCTTGTTACTTTTATAATGTGATCAAAAAGGCTCCAGCTTAAGAAGCCCTGGATGGAAGGCTCTGGCACTGCCAATGGCTGCTTGGGTGGCCTTGTGCAGACACACTGCCAACCACTCACCTGCTCACTCAAAGGACACTTAGTGGTTGATCCATACACAGTTACTTTTCATTCTAATATTCAGAGACTACTTTTGCTCTTAGGACGCTTTCTACTAGGTTTCAACTAACTTATCCTAACTCAAAGGGAGCCCACTCCACATGGCCATTTTCATATATATATGAATATATATTTAAGTTCATTTTACAAATCTAAGGCACACAACATGTTTTGATACCACTAGTAAAATGGTTACTATAGAAAAACGATCATGTCTATCATTTCACAGTTACCCCTTTTCGGTGACAGTTATACATAATCAGTGCACTGTGGCCTGGGATCCGTGATAGGTGGAATGCCTTCGAATGCAAGAAGCAACAATAATGTGACCATGAAAGTCGGGGTAATTAGAAGAAAACGACTCTGCTGAGTGTCAGGGACAAGCCTCGTAATGTGTCATCTTAGTTCACAGGGCATATGCCTTTGAAAAACTGTTGCTAGGTTCTCACAAAGTTTTGTTTACGTGAACTTAACTCCTCAAGACATGACAGCCACTGGGTGCCCTAGGTAAGAATAAAATGATACTCAACATTCGAGTCCAATAAACCCCTGGGAGGTGAAACTCTTGTAGGAAGTAACATTTTTACACAAGTTTTGAGTATTACTAAAAAGCTTCAATTCACGCTCCATCTCAAAAATACAACACGGATAACGGGGATTACAGAAGGTGTTGCCGGGCATTGAAAAAATTCCCACCCGACACCCTCCGGTAAATATACATGGGATTGTTTAAAAACCAGCTCGTCACTGATTGAACGGGGCGCGGCGGGGCAAGGGGGGGGGCGGGGGAGGGAATCCCCTGGTGCAAAAGTAAAGAAAGGGAGAGAATTGAAAGAGGACCGGCTTTGAGGTGAGAAAACCCTTGTTTGGCACAACCCGTCGGCTTCGTGTTTTTAACTCCGGGGGCTTTATGGAAAACTCCGGTCACTTGAAAGCCCATCTCGGAAGGAGCCCCAGGTAGGGAGAGGGGCGCTCTGCAGAGATCCTTGAGCTGACCAAGTGAGACTCCTCGAGGTGAGTTCAGACAGGGAAGGGCACGTCGGAGGCGCGGTGGGAGCACTCACCTTCCCTCCCGGAGGTGGCCTGGGCTGCGGGCAGCAGGAGGGCGACGCCGAGGCAGCAGCTGAGCCAGAGCGCGGGCATGGCCGGGCTGCGCTCCGCCGCTGCGGGTGGCTGCCGGGCGCCGAGTCCTCGCCCCGCTGTGCCTTCCTTTTACCTCGATCAGGTGGTTTTATCGACTCTTCTACCTGACTCAGTCCCGACAGGAAGAGAGCCCGTGTTTCGGGGCGTGACTCACCTGTGAACAAGGAGGACCCAGCCCTCCGAGGCAGACAAACACTCAGCGCGCGCCGCCGAGCAGTAAACCGGCTCGCTGCGGCCCCCGGCTCCCCCCGCCCCCCCCCGCAACCCGGGCGCACACCTGGCCCCGCCGCCGAGGGCGTGGTGCAGAGGCTGCGGCTCACAGATCCTTCTGGAATGCGCCGCAACCCCCACAGCCCTTCTCCCGGGGTGGTCCCGGGCAGAACTCACCGTGGTAGAGAGTGGCCGCCCCTTCCTCAGACTCGGGGAGGTGGGCGGAGGAGCAGTCTCAAGGGCACAGATGTTGATCCATCCGAGTCAGAGTCAGAAGCCCCCTCTGCTCTGGTCTAAAAGACAGAGAGGCAAATTAACCAGACCGAGGGTCCCAACAGCACTCTCCATCAAGGGCAACTTGTTTGTTTGTTTTTTCTAAGATACTGCAGGTATACACATCACCGATTTCTACTTCACACCTAACACCCTCCCTCTTCCCTACCCACCCCCTCACCACAGTACCATCAGGGTGGATCAAAGATTCCTCTCCTGGGTCTACCTACCTTAACCTCAAGCTAGCAGCTCCCTAAGTCACTTGTTGGCAGACCAGCCTCCCACCAAGACTGGGTACCCCTACTACTGATGCAGTACCTAGTCACAACTGATGCTCAACAAACTTTCTGTTCATAAGAAAAAGGACCATAATTTCCTACTCTTTTAACATCTCAGAGCGTACTTTTCATGCCATTCTCTCTAGTCTCCCTGGAAAAACGTTAAGAGGGATTGTATCAGCTAAGTCCACAGGTGCTAGTTGGAGTGAGTAACACCAAGTTGGGGGGAGGGGATGCAAATCTTGGCATGTCCTTCACTGTTCTGGGGACTTCTAAGGAGAATGATTTAGAGGTGACTGTCAGAGAAGACTTTTGGTTCCTGCTAGAGATTAAGAATTACTAGTATTTATATAGACACAATGTATCCATCACAACCAATGACTCCTCCCTTTTCCCCTGGTAAGGACTGCAGAGAACCTCAATAAATACCTAGTCACTGACTAAATGAATGACTGTACTAGAGATAGATCTGTAGCTAACACTCTAAGAAAACAAACAATGTAACCCACCCATTATTGTCAATGATGTGAGAATTCCTATTTCTGTATGTGATCGGGGCCAGTGTGAGCTGACTGAGAGAGCCGTGGATGGCTTTGGACAGAATTCAGAGCCTGAACTAGACACCTATTATAACCAGGGACTGGATAAAGCATCTAAGAACAGCAGAGGCAAGATGGGGTACTGCAGACTGGCTGACATCGCCACTAAAATCAAGCAGCAGAAAGGAAATTCTAATGTTCTCACTCTGGACTTGACTCTCTTCTACTCTGCCCAGATAATACGAAGACTCTTCTCCCTCAAAATCAGTGTCCAGCTGCTGCTAACACTTCCGCTCCTAGAGACCAGGTATCTAGAGTTCTTCCTTCCCATAGTTGCTACAAGGTGGAGAGAAAAAGACCCTGTTTCTAGGTCCCATGATCCTTGCGCGTCCGCCCACCCACTGGAAAACCGAGAGACTAATTGTGCCAGCCAAGTCCCAGTTCATGGTGTGGGAGGAGCAAGGCCTGGGGCCATGCAAAATAGAATCTTAAAGACAAAATGTGAGTTTTTAAGCACAGAGTTCCATCATTTGTTACATCTCGAATGTGAGAGCAAATATTCTCATCTACTACCATTTTTATAGTGATAATAATAAAATCAGCCGGGTGGTGGGGGTGGGGGTGGCGGCACCGGTGGCGGCGGCAGTGCCGCCGCCGGCGCACACCTTTAATCCCAGCACTCGGGAGGCAGAGGCAGGCGGATCTCTGTGAGTTCGAGGCCAGCCTGGGCTACCAAGTGAAAGGAAAGGTGCAAAGCTACACAGAGAAACCCTGTCTCGAAAAACCAATAAATAAATAAATAAATAAATAAATAAATAAATAAATAAATAAATAAATAAATAAAATCATAGAGGTTTGTCTGCCAGTTACTGTTCTCAGTCTTTGTTACATATTAGCCCTTTCAACATTCAACATAACCCTGCAAATGAGATATACTATCAATATCCCCATGGCACAGGCCTGGAAAGGTTAGGTAACAAGCTAAAAATGGCAAAGCCAAGATGCAAAGCCAGGCAGTCTAGCTGAAACGTTCACACACTCTTTGATAGTCAGATTAAAAAGCACCATAAAGAAAGATAAGTTCACAATGCTGAATGAGCTGAGTGCAATCAAAGGTTAGTTATCAGCAGCCATCACAGCATGGCCAGATTGAGAACCGCTGGCATGCATCCAGAAAGCCGGTCACACAGGACTCTGCACAAACCCTTGTCCCCAGACATTAGCTTTGAAAGGACCCACTGGTCACTTGGACAAGTATCTTAGGTCCAAATCAATCAGCACCTCATTTCTGTGGACAGTCCAGGATTCCATTCCACCAGGCAGTCATTCTCCAGTCTGACTCAGTTTCCCCTCTTCACCTGCATAAACAGTCCCTTACCTCAGGCTTGAGTCCTCTGCTCTGGCCTCATGCCCTTTACTCAGGAACAGTATCCACCCCCTGGACCAGCTTGAAGAGAATTCTCCAGTGCATCACTGGAGCTCAGAGGACTCCAGTGGTCAAAGTCAAGGCTCCGGATCCTGAATCCAGACACTACCTTCACCATGACAAGGCAATGTACTTGGTTTTCTCTGAGCTTCGGCTCCTTCTACCATAAAATGGAGATAATGATAAGAACCTTATCTAGTGGGGTTACTGAGAAATGCAGATGAGTTCACGATCCAGCTAGGGCTCAGAACAGCACCAGGCACACACTACATTCTATGCCCTAAACTAATATTTTTCCACTGCTGCGACTGTTTAGTGGCAGTGGATGCAAAGCTACGGCCACTGGCGAGCACCAGCCGGTCTTTCCTCGCCGTACACTTAACTAACAAACCTCGCAGGAGGAAAGCTGATGCTTTGCTTCAACACCTTTGTTAACTGGTTTTAATTTTAGCTTTGAACGTCAGGGAACCTCTTTTCCTAGTTCATGTCTCGGTCACCCAAATTTGCTCAGCTGTTAACCAACTTGCATTTTTACTGTACATGCAGCTGTCTGCCTCCGCCCCCCCACCCCGTCCCCCTTTCCCCAGCTGACCTTGAACTCACAGTGTAAGGAAGGATACCCCTCAATTCCTGATGCTCCTGCCCCTCCTCCTCCTAGGATTACAGGCTCGGTCCATGATGTTTCTCTAAAGCTGGAAATTTCATACATAGGTTTGCATGCCTAAGGTTCAATGTTCCCATTTAGAACTTTGCTGAGGGTGGACTGAGGTCTGACATTTCAAGCAAAATATAAGAAGATGATGGATTTCACTGTATTGTTATGATTAAGCTTAATATGTGATTTTCAAAAAGGCAACAAAACTTATTTGATCTTTCTGTTTGACATAAATATATCTCCCCCCCCCAAATCCAGACAAAAGTCAAACTAATCCTCCCCTGCAGTAGAAAAGAATAAACTATGGATCCATAGAAAGCATAGAAGACTCTCAAAACACTGTGCCCAGTGAAAGAAAGCATACACAGAAGAACCCATGTGACTCCATTTACAGGAAATTGTAGAAAATGCACACTTAAGAAGGCAAGAAAGCAGAGTACAGCTGTCACAGACAGGAACTGCCTCTGACGGCCCATGGAGCTACTGTTTGGGAATGAAAGAAATATTCTGAAATACGATTGCAGTCAAAAGTCATCTAAGGGCTTCAGAGACAGCTCAGTTGGTAAAAATGCTTGCCTGGCAAGCATATGAGGACCTTAGTTCAAGTCCCGGAATCCACGTAAAAAGCTGGGCCTGGTGGCACTCAGGTGATTCGAGGGTTGGAAGATGGAGACAGGCACATCCCAGGGACTCTATGGCCTGCCAGCCTGGATACATGGGTGAGCTCCAGGTGAGAGACCCTATCTCAAAAACACAAACTACCTGGCATCTGAGGTGTAGTAACCAGGGTTATCCTCTGGCCTCCACATCTGAATACACTCACACACACCATACATGTATCCAAGCACACATGAACATGTGAACACACACATACATATCATTAAATTGTATACTTAACATCAGTAAGTTTGGCTGTATTGAGGATAGAACATGTTAGGCAAATCTTTCACCTATTAGTTATATACTGTGTGCTTCAAAAATTGGTAAACTTGATTGTATGGAAATCACGTGTCGGTAGAGTGGTATTAAGGGGCGGGAAGTGGAGCTGGAGAGAACCCATGAGTTAAGAGAGCGCTGCCTTTACAGAAGACGCAAGTTTGGTTCCCACGTCAGGCAACTCACATCCTATGTGACACCTCTGGCCTCCTTGGGCACTGGCACTCACTCACACAAATACATACATAGACACAGACACAGGATTAAAAATACAATAAGGCTATTTTTAAAGAGAGGATCTCAAAAAACTGCATTTGAACGTTAAGATGAGATTGATTTCAGATGCGGAAGAGCACAGCCATGGCTAGAAACATGTCAGCCTTGCCGGAAGACGTCGTGAAGCCAGCTCAGCCCGTCTGAGGGGCTCTAAGCTGCCATCTCAGCCCTTGTGGCGGAAGCGGCACCTGGGAATTGCAGGAGGACCCCACCCCCCGTTCTGGAAACCTGTCAGTTTTGGTGACCTCTAAAGGTACCCATGCCTCTTTGGACTATTTCCTCGGGGGTACACATTTCAAACCCATCCTGGACTCTCCTCTCCCGGAAGTTGCCTCTTGGATCTTTGCCCCGTGTTCCCATTCACTTGTGTCCGTCCGGCCCTGGCACTGGAAGGTTCTGGGGCTTTCCCACTGGGCGTGGCCTGCCCCGCTGAGCCCGGAAGTCCCCTGTGCCTGTGGTTCTTGCACTTTCAAGCCGGGCATCTCCCAAGGGAATTTTCTTCTCACAATGCTCTGTAAATCATTTTACAGAACTGTTACCTCTCGGAGACCCCAGAGCCCCAAAATAGAATTACAAGTGGCATGCCGATTTTTGCCTCAGGTTCCATCATT